AGGGAGCCCGGCGAGGAGCGAGGGCGCGAGGACCGCAATGGGGACGCGGGAGGGGAGCAGGAGCGAGGACGCGGGGCGGCGGAGAACCGGAGACTGAGGCGGGGGGCGCAGGGCCCTGCTCTCGCCAGGGCACCGAGGGGCCTGCCCGATCGGGCGAAGAGGGGGGGGGGGGGGCGACGACCTGCCAGACCGCCCAAACCTGACCCCCGAAGACCCCACTTTCGGGATGGGGGGGCGTACGGGTTCCACCACAGGTGCTTCATCGGTGTTCCCCGACGCCCCCCCCCCCATACACTTGGAACGGAGGGCGGATTGGGGCCTTGGGGTTGGATTGGGGCGGTGCGGCGGGTGGTAAACGGGGGGAGCCACTACCCACTCCGGCCACGCTCCGCCCTCCGCTCAGTCCTGCGCCCTTGCCTACTCCTGGGCTGCTAAATGCTACAGGTAAAACTGAGAGTAAGGATGCGCGGCAAACGGCGGCGAGCGAGGGGGGGAAGAGAGGAGAAGGCCTTCTCGGCAGGCAGCGGGACTTCTGAGAAACCCTCGCGCCTCCTGAGAAGTTTTTGCGTCCTCTGGGAAGACTTAGAAAACTTCTCAGAAGGCCAGGGGACTTCCGAGCCTTGTGAGAAGGCCAGTCCTTCTCACTTCCCCCTGGGCTCGCCACCGAGGTAAGGATGCAGGCCCCTCGTACGACCATACCGAGGATCTTCGCGCCGGGCTGGCCATCGAAAGTGGTCAAGGCTAGACCAAAGAGGAAAGGATGCAAGGGTACCCTCCAACGACCATATCGAGGATCTTCGCGCTGGGCTGGCCATCGAAAGTGGTCAAGGATAGACCATAGAGGAAAGGATGCAAGGGGTGACCCTGGGAGAGTCACCCGTCCCTATCGCCGAGTTCGCCTGTCACCGCAGTGGTGTCGTGCTGGCGCTGCCACGTACCCCCCCCCCCAAAGGAGCGGTCGCCCCAGGGGGGCGGGGGGCGGTCAAGCTGGGTGAACGGTAGCAAAAGCTCCCGTAGCCGTCTCCGCAGTTCCGCTTGATTCCACATCTCGCCATCGCTCGGACGTCCATTCCTCGTGTATTTTTCGATTTCGTGCGTGTTTTTTTCGCCAAATGATCAAGGATGCTTCTCGATGGTCCTCGCCGAAGGAAAAATGCACACGTCCAAGCGATGCCAAGACATCCTGTGGTCCAGTCGGTATGGTGGGTCTGCGGATGCTGGACGCAGTTGGGGTTTACAGCGAGTCGTCCGTTCTGTGGCATGTGTGGCGGGAGTCGTCGGGGTGGCCGAGAACGTTCCCTCCGCACGATCTGGTTGCCCTCTGCCGTGAACGGGATGACGTCGATGGCCCTCTTCTGCGGGACGGGCCCCATGAACTGTTTGAATACCTCGTGGTCGTCCGTGACGCTGTTGTAGGGCTCGTTCCGCTTTTCCGTGAGGGCCCTGTGTCCAGCTTGGCGTAAGAGGTTTTCGATGTGCGACATCAGGTTGTGGATGTCCGCCGTTTGGACTCTCATGCATCCGTGGACGATGATTTCCGCTGCTTGTATCCATTGGGGTGTTTGTCGTGGCAGTGGGCGTCGTACCGTTGTTACATCGACTGGTGCTACAGTGGTGGGTGGGACCGTCGTGATGCCGACCTCTCGCTGTCCCTGCCCTCCTCCTCCTCCTCCTCCTCCTCCTCGTAATCGTAATCGTAATCATTATTATCATCATCATCATCAGCATCATCAGCATCATCAGCATCATCATCATCCTCAATACTCTTCATCCTCCTGACATTCATCCTCCACCTCCGCCTCCTCTTCCTCCTCCCCCAAGCACCATCTCCGTCTCCTTATCCTCATTTCCGTGAACCGCACAGGGCCCACAAACCCAACCCTCCTCCTGCCGCATCATCCTCCACCTCTGCCTCCAGAACCCGATGGAAAGCTTCGAAAACATGTGAACATGGCGAAAGTATCATCATCCCCACCGCAAACCTCTGGATATAACCTCCTCTCCTCTTCATCCTCCTCCTCGTCCTCCTCCTCCTTCTCCTCCTCATCATCATCATCCCGCCGCGTCTTAATTCGTCCTCCTCATGATGGTTCATCCTTTGTCATTTCCACGTTGCACCGCAAGACCCTTCGGTAGGGTGGTTCTCGCGATTCAACTGAAGCTCAAAAGTTCCAAACGTTACACGGATGGAGGACAGATGGCTTCCAAAGCGCAGCTGGCGCCTAAGCGCCGCGTACACTCGTCGTCAAACACATAGCCCCATGGATGGCAGATGGCTTTCAACATATGGCTCTCGCATTATTGTCAGGCACTTTCACCTTGGAGTGCAGGAGGTGGTCAAGGTGTGGTTATCCTAGTAGCGCGGCGCATTATCGTCTGTTTGCACGGTTGAGGCACACATGTGCACTGAGGATCTCACCTCAGCGCCGCGCAAGCTTGTCTTCAATATTGTCAACACTACACAGATGGAGCACGAGTCGTTTTCGGAATGCAAATGTCGCCCTAGACGCGGGCACAATCGTCTCAAAAGCTTCCGATACGGATGGAGAGCGCATCGTTTTCAAGAGCTGGCTCGCTTGCCTTCCTCATCCCAAATTGCCATGCACCTTCAAGAACTCAAGCTGGTATACGGAAGGGGGGCTGTATCTTTCAGAACATGGCTGTCCTAGAATTTGGAATTGAGAAGACAATTGACAAAATCTTGGACGATCCGAGAAATTGAAACTCCACAAGATGAGACAAGCATGCAGGGTCGCCCGTTGTCAACCGCTTCTCTCTTAAGCTCTAGTCCGCCTTGTAACGCGGTGCAAACGAGTCTCGAAACGTGGTCGTGGATACGTACTTGAAAAAACTTAGGGCAACTGACATGTTCGTGGCGCTGACGTGTGAAGAGGAGACTTGGAATGGGAGAACTGATCGCAGCATCGGTGGTGCGTGTCTGGCTTACTCTGCGTGTTCTCCTCCTCCCCCCCCCCCTGCGCTCTCTCCAGGAGCATCCGAAACCTGCTGAAGCCCCAGAAGCCCAAGAATCCACCTTCTGAAAATCGTCAAGCCACCAAACAACATGGAACATGACCGACAACCTCCAGAATCCTGCGAAGTCTCCTCCTCCTCCTCATCCTGGTTCTTGCCTCCTGCCGCCTACTCTTCCTCCTCCTCTTCCTCCTCCTCCTCCTTCTCCTCCTCGTCATCATCATACTCACCCTCCTCACCACTATAGTCATCGCAATCGCCAACATCGCCACCATCATCATCAGCACCAACAGCATCAGCATCATAACGTTCATCACAATCGTACAGTATCTTACTCAGCATCAGCACCATCAACAACATCAGTATCCTCGTCAACAACACCATCATCAACACTATCATCATCACCATTATCAACCTACATCAATCCGTCCAACGTAATTTCCATCGTTCTGGAAGCATCCCTCGTCGTCACCAATGTCATCCTTCTTCTATCATCAGCATCAGCGTCAGCATAAGGATCAGAATCATCATCAGCATCATCGTCCCCATCAGTATCCTCAGAATCAGCATCAATATCATCATCAACATAAGTATCGTCATCATCATCGTCCCCACTATAATCAGATTCGTCATCATCAGCATCAGCATCAACATCATCATCAGCGTCATCGTCATCATCAGCATGAGCAGCAATTATTGTCGACACCATCATCAGCATCATCATCATCATCATCAGCAGCAGCAGCAGCATCATCGTGATCAGCATCGTTGCCACCATCATCATCATCATCATCAGAATCATCATCATCATCAGCAGCACCACCATCGTCATCGGCATCGTCAGCATCAGCAACCGTCGCTTATCGTCGAAAGCATCATCAGCAGCAGCAGCACAGTCACTATCAACGGTGCCAGGATCGAACAAGCAAAAACATGATCGTTATCAACGACATCGACATCATCATCATCATCATCAACATCATCATCATCATCATCATCATCATCATCATCATCATCGTCGTCGTCGTCATCATCACCATCACCATGACCATGACCATCCAACATCCGTCCTTCTTCCTCTCCTCAATACCCCCGTTACCATCATCAACCACAACAAAATTGACATCATCAACATCGTCATAATCAACGTCGCCCACATCATCATCCCTATCATCATCGCGCCATCGCCATCGCCGCCACTACTGCCATCAAAGCCACTATCGTGATCAACGTAAACGGCATGACCAACATCATTTGCATAAGCATCCTCATGGGCATGATCGCCATCATCCATCCTTGTCTCCAACTCCCCCTCTATTACCACCATGATCAACATAGCCATAACCAACATACTCTACATCATCCTCATCAGCGCCAGCACTCACCACCATCGCCACCATAATCAGGATCGTCCTCATTCACACAATCATTAGCTGCATGATCGTCCTCACTATCAGAATCACCCGCGTCACTAACTTCAATGCCATCGTCACCCTCATAATCGTCGTCAGCATTATCGTCGTCGTCCTGATCACCATCATGAGCCAATATCGTGAATATTCCCTCGTACACCGTCTGGTCAACATGATCATCATCATCAAAATTCAAAATCCACGTCAATCGACTCATCTTTAGCATCATCACCACCACCATCGCCGACATCATCATCAGTATCGTCAGTGTCATCCGCCTCGTCGTTCTCATCGGCAATATCATCACTATCGCAAAACGCACCGCTATTTTCATAATCCACCTCCATCATCTCTTCCATCATCAACGACATCGTCATCCTCCGTACCGTCATCATCGACAGTATCACTATCACCGTCAACACTATACGTAGCCAGCACCAATATCATCATTATTATTACCATCATCATCATCATCATCATCATCATCATCATCATCATCATCATCATCATCATCATCATCATCATCATCGCCAATGTCCTCGTCTCTCGCGCTGGCTGGCGCGGGGGAGCGGCAGTCGCACGTCTTCGCCAGCTCACAGGTGCCCTCCAGGAGCTTCACGAGGCCGAAGTCCTGCGGAGGGCCAGGGGCCGAGCCAGGGACCCAGGAATCCGAGCAAGAGGAGGAGAGGGGGAAGCAAGGAGGACGATGAAAACGGATTGCGAGGTAAGAGATACCTATCGCCTGGGCGAACAGGCAATGAACACAGTAGAACACGAGTCTAAAACGGGCACGTAGGTCGGACGACCTACGTACCCGAACCAAGACGGCAGCGGGAAAATGGAGAAGATCGGACAGGACAAATGAGGCAGGAACGATCAGTATGTCTACCGTTCGAGTCTCGTGCTCAAACGAGCATGCATGTGCCCCGTCGGCTACAGCACGCGACCACGCTGCGCACATTCGTTTTGAGAAATTACCAGAGTTTCACGGATTCCCATGATCAGCGTACGAGAAATTGTGTTGTGGAAAGATTCAGGATTATGAGGGTGCAACACTTACGCTGATTCCCTGTGTTGAAGTTCCAGGACTGGCGTTCTGGCACGAGTCAGGATCGTCAAGACGCAACCGTCAGGTTGATTCGTGGCGTTGAAATCACGAGAACGATGTTTTGGCATGCTTCATGGTCTTCAAACCGTTGTCTTCCAACGACGCAGTTCTCTCAGTGGATTTGAACCCTTGTAGGGGCCTATGAAGAGGGAGCTTGGAGGGAGGGGTTATTCCAACATCGTTGATAACTCTTGGGTTTACACTGGTCCTCCTCCTCCTCCTCCTCCTCCCCCTCCTCCTCCTCCTTCTCCTCCTCCTCCTCCTCCTGCTCCTCCTCCCCCTCCTCCTCCTCCTCCCCCTCCCCCTCCCCCCTCCTCTCCCTCATCCTCCTCCCCCCTCCTCCCCCGGTTCCCCCCGAGGCTGGCAGAGGGTCAGCGGCTTGCTCAGAAGCTGCGCGGCGGCGGCGGGGGGCGCTCCCCCAGCAGCGCTCGCCCGGTTCTGCACAGGAAGATGTTCCGCGACCTCTCGGGCGACAACGACGGCGACGACGACGACGACGACGAAGCCGCCGCCGCCGCCGACGCCGAAGCCGACGCCGACGTCGAAACCGACGCCGACGACGACGCCGACGCCGACGTCGACGCCGACGCCGACGAGGACAACCACGACGACGACGACGACGACGAAGACGACGCCAACGACGCGACGACGACGACGACGACGACGCCAACGACGACGACGACGACGACGCCGCCGCCGCCGCCGCCGACGACGACGAGGACGACGACGACGACGACGACGACGACGACGACGACGACGTCGACGACGACGACGACGACGACGACTATGACGCCGACACCGACGCCGACGCCGACGCCGACCACAGCTGATCGATCGGAGGTTTCCCATACAAGCATGAGAAGATGGCTTACGCCGTCCGAATGTGCATTCTGCTCGGTATTTTAGAAACTCTGAAGGCCGAGCAGGCTCTGTCTGCTGAGGAGCCCCGAGGAGCCCGAGTCAGGCAACCTGATCTCAGGCAATCTGGTCTCAGGCCCCCTCCTCCCTCGGTTTGCCGAGTTGTTTCCACACGGCAACCGTTGTCTGAAAGCCACCCAAGCGCGTCGTAAAGTTTGGTTGCACACCCTGTGATTCGACCTGAATGCAGTCTATGGCAACATGTGTTGGCCGCCCTACCGTTGCAGGGTGAACATCTGTGGGGGTTGGGCTGAGCACACCCATGATTTACAGCTCCACGCTGGGCTGGGGAGTTGGTTCTGCGGCACGTGTGGAAGCTATGCGGCCCAACGGTTGGCCAAGCTCTGGAAGGAGTACCCTGGCAGAGCCGAGGGCAATCTTAAGGATTACCTCAAGAATGTTGATCGGGGGGTCTGACCTAAAACTCACAATAAATCTGGCTAGGTCAAACATGCGGCAAGATCAAAATAACCTCTCTCATCATACCCGTCATGGTCGCGATATCCGTAATTCCGTCACTACTCCGCCTCCTCCACCTCCTCCGGCCTCCATCATATTCCTCATACTCCTCCTCATCCGCATCCTCCTCCTCCTCATCCTCCTCCTCCTCCTCTACCTCCTCCTACTCCTCCTCCTCCTCCTCCTCCTCCTCCTCCTCCTCCTCCTCCCCCTCCGCCTCCTCCTCCTCCTCGTCCTCATCCTGCTCGTCGCGACATCCGTAACTCCGTAACTCCTCCGCCTCATCCGCCTCCTCCGCCTCCTCCGCCTGCTCCCTCCTCCCTCCCTCCCTCCCTCCCTGCCTCCCTCCCTCCTCCTCCCTCCCGCCCGTCCTCCTCCTCCTCCTCCTCCTCCTCCTCCTCCTCCTCCCTCCTCCTCCTCCTCCTCCTCCTCATCCTCCCCTCTCCTCCACTCTCCTCCCCTCCACCTCCTCCTCCTCCTCCTCCTCCTTCTCCTCCTCCCTGCTCCCTCCTCCTCCCTGCTCCCTCCTCCTCCTCCTCATTATCATCCTCCTCCTTCTCCTCCTCCTCCACTTCTTCCTCTCCACCTCCTCCTCCTCATCATCATCCCCCTTCTCTTCCTCGTCCTCCGCCTCCTCCTCGTCCTCCTCCTCCTGCTCATCATCCTCCCAGTCGTCTTACTATTATGCGTCTCCGTATCATTAGTCGTATGGCTATTTTATCCATGTTGGTGTTCTCATTATTATGCGTGTTCGTCTTCGTATGAATTGTATGAGTAGTATTCGTATTAGTCTCATTAGTGGTAGTAATACTGCTGATGATAGTATTGGTGCTATGTCTTCTTATTCTTAGGATCACTAGTATTCACACTGGTGTTCGGGTTCGCCGTATTATTATAATTAATGTCAGTCGTATGTGTCTTATTATTCGTAGCATTACGAATGCATAAGTATTCGAAGTATTAAACTTCGTGTTAGTCTTATGTTCCGTTAACCGTCTTGTTAGAACTATTATTTGTAGTAGGATGGTTGGCATTAGTCGTAGTAGCAGTAGTGTTATTACTTGTCTTCTCAGTAGTGTTAGTATTATGTTTACTGACACTACGTGTGAAAGTATGAAATGTCCTCCTCCTTCCTCCTCCTTCCTCCTCCTTCTTCATCCTTGCTCCTCATTCCTCCTCCCTCCTCATCCTTCCTCCTCCTCCTCCTCCTCCTCCGCCTCCTCCGCCCCCTCCTCCTCCTCCTCCACCTCCTCCTCCTCCTCCTCCTCCTCCTCCTCCTCCCCCTCCTCCTCCTCCTCCTCCTCCTCCTCGTCCTCCTCGTCGTGAGGCTGCAGGCCACGCGCTGCTGGCGCGGGCCCGAGCGCGGGCGGCAGACCCGCGCGCGGGACGCCAGCCGCACCCCCACCCCTCCCTTGTGCGCGGCGGGGCGGACTTGATGTCGCGGTGGACCTGCCCTCGCCGCTCAGGCCGTCGCGGGCAAGACGCAAGGCGGCAAGAGGCTCTGGTGGGCAAGGTTCAGGGGGTGGACGGGAACGTCAGTCGGCGGCGCGCGAGGGGACCAAGGCAGACAGAGAAGGCCTTCTCAGAAGGCGGCGGGACTTCTCAGAAGCCCTCGCGCCCGCCTTCTGAGAAATTTTCTGTTTTCGGGGAAGGCTTGGAAAACTTCTCAGAAGCGCGGGGGACTTCCGAGCCTTCTGAGAAGGCCCGCCCCTTCCCAATTTCCCCCCTCGCTCGCCGCCGAGTCAGGGTCCGGAGCTCGAGACCCCATAGTTCTGCGCACATTTTTCGATCCGGCTCGATGTGAGGGCCCTGGGTCCCGAAACTGAGCGAAGACGCCCAACGTGAGAGGAGAAACTGCAACGCCACAACTTCAGGGGACGAGAGAAACCACACCCGGGAAGCGGTCGGGACCTCCGAAGCAGCTGCAACGGATGTCTGGGGACGAGACACAGCCGGCGGGCCAGCGCAGCGGCCCCGAAGAAACGAACCAGCTGCTGGCCGCCATAACCGGAGGCTGAGCCTAGGACACGGACACGGATACGGATCGCCTGCGCGGGCATGCGCCCAGGCCCCTTCAAGGCGAGGCGGGTGAGGCCATGGCCTCGCTGAGCCTAGGAGGGGGTAGCAGTGAACAGCAACGATGGGGGGGGGGGGGGGGCCGCTCGAAAGGGGGAAACATCGACCTGGAATCGGCGGTACCTCGCCGACAGGTCGGCGATGGGCCCCCCGTATCGAGTCCGCACGTTCCTGGCTCTGGTGCCTCTGGTGCGCGGTTTGCGGGAACGTTGGGGAGGCGAGCGAGCGGGCCGCCAAGGCGGAGCACCCTCCAGGCCTACCTCAAGCCAGGCGGGCGAGGTCGTGACCTCTATATATGATCAGGGGCTCCGCCCCCTCCCCGGGCCACCCCCCCCCCCTGGATGGGTACGCCCGTGAACCTCGCGAAGGCCTCGCGAGTGGGATCGCCGCCTCCAACTGTGGTCCTGGCCCTGTGGACGTGGCGTGGTTGTGGGTGCCGTGCCAGTGCGCCCCCCCCTCTTCTCCCAGTGTGGGTGCGGGGTGGTTCGTCGTCGTCGTCGTCGTCGGTCGGTCGGTCGGTCGGTCGGTCATCGTCGTCATCATCGTCGTCTTCCGTCTGCGTCGGCGTCGTCGTCAGTCTGCGTCGGCGTCGGCGTCGGCCTCAGCATCAGTGTCAGCGTGGGCATCGTCGGCGTCGGCGTCGGCGTCGGTGTCGGCGTCGGCGTCAATGTCGTCGTCTTTCGTCGGCGTCAGCGTCGACGTCGTCGGCGTCGGCGTCGGCGATGTTGTCGACGTCGTCCCCCCCCCCTCATCCCATCTGGGGGGGGGGCCTGTGGAACACTGGGACCAGACCCATCTGGGGGGGCCTCGACCCAAGATCGCATATGCTGTCGTGTGTGGGGAGCATGCACACGTGCCGCGAGACACTAGAACATTCCGTGAGACATGAAGATAAAAAGGGAGGGAATAGTTGTAGTCCGCGTCCTCGTGCGTGGGTGGCGCTGTACAGTTGTGTGATCGATCGTGAATGCGCCTTGCTTCAGCTGTTGAAGCAGGCGTTCTGTCGTTCTGAAGCCTCGACCAAGTGATGACGTGTTGAGCAGATGTGGTGTCATGTGGTGTCATTTGGTTGTCATCCTACTCTGCGTGCTGCGACCTGGAATCGGCGATACTTCGCCGATGGGTCGGTGATGGGCTCCCGATAGCGAATCCGCACGTCGATGCCGGTTGGGCGATCGGGCCCATATCGGGCTCCCGATGGCGAGTGGGGGTCGATGTATCCCCCCCTGGGCCCATCCCACCGAAGGTTGCCCCGGAACGGAACTGCGGAGGGAGGCCGAATCTGAATGCACAAGAGAATGCTGGGGTGACTCCTGTGGGCCCGCACCCGAGGTCACTCCAGCATTGTTTGACCGATCCCCCATCCACACTATCATGGCCTTGGCCCCACTGGCCGATTTAACCCCCAGGTGGGAATATATGTATGCTGTTCCCGTCGGGTGTCGCGGGGCCTGTCCCAAACTGGCCCAGTGTGGATAGGGATCAATTTGACAATACTGAGCGGGGGGCAAGATCTAAACCCGCAAGTCCGTGTTGCGGGGGACCCCGTGGTCCCGCACTAGAGGTCACTCAGGCGAAGTGCCAATCTGTTACGCGTAGCCGACTGGCCCCCCGGGAGGTCCACCAACCCGCCGCCACCTCCGCCTTCCTGCCTCGCCGTCGTCCTCGCCCTCGTCCTCGCCATCGCTCTCATCCTGCTGCCTCATCCTCCCTCATCTCTCCTTCTCCTCCCTTGTCCGTCCTACATATTTCCTCCACCTCCGTTTCCACATCCTCCTGCCTCCTCCCTCCTCCCTCCCACCTCAAACTGTCCTCCTCCTCCTCCACCGCCTCCTCCCCGCCTCCTCCTCCTCTCCTTCCCTCGTCTATCCGTCCTCTCCGTAACCATTTTGGCTCAAGCTGCTTGGGCTCGAGCTGGCTTCGCAGGCGCCCTCGGGTCCAGCCGCAGCGTGTCCGATGTCTGCGGCGCAGGCAGCCCACGCCGCGGCGCTCAAGGTGCCGCGCGGCGGCTTCCTTGCGGCGCACTCGCCGCCTGGGCTGGCAACGGGCTGCCCTGAGCTGCGCGAGGCCTCTCGCATGCTCAGGGCGGCCGAAGGCATCCTGCGCGCGGCAGCAGCCATGCTGGCCAGGCCCGCCCCTCCCGCGCCGGCTCCTGCGCCGCCTCCGCAAAGGCCGCGGCTGCCCCTGCGGCGGTCGCGGCGGCCACTGCGACGGCGTCGGCCCCGAGGCCGCGGCGGCAAGACGGGCGAGGTGCGGACCGGCCAGCACGGCGCCGACGCAAGCGACAGCACAGTCGTAGAGAGCGTGGCGGCAGAGGGCGCGGCTGCTGGGGCGGTCGCGGCGCCCGCACCGACGCTGGGGAAGAATGGGGCGCTGCGAGCGGCCCAGAAGGGCACCTTGGCTGCCGCGGCGGCGCCAGCCCAGCAGAACCCCGGCGCTGCCCCCTCGCGGAGGGCGTCCCTGCTCGACCTGGCGTGCGACCTGGGCTTCGCCCCCGAGCGAACCGACTGGTCGATGCGGAGCTGGAGAAGCTCTGCCAGCAGCCGGGTGGACGTGCAGGTCCTGGGTAGGAGGGGCCGCTGGCCCACGCCCCTCTGTGCCTCGAGGGGCCGTGGCGGCAGGCCCAAGCCCGCCGCGCTCCAGCCGCGGGAAGTCCTCTGCCAAGACACGCGGGGCTATCCTGGACAGTTGAATTTCCCCTCTGTCCGACAGAGCGCTGGCGGAGAAGGAGCGCCAAAGCAAAGGCCCGCGGTGCCCGGTCGGAGCCTCACACCAGGCAGCATTGGCATCCGCCTCCAAGCTGCGCCCGACCGACTCCTCCATCTCTCTCTTCCTCCACCTCCTCGCCGTCGTCGTCGCCGCCGCCGTCGACGTCCTCGCCACCCCCCCATTCTCCTCCGCAGGCCTCCGACGACAAGAGGCCCGCGGCTTTCCTCGACTCTGACATCCCCAGATCTTCAGTGCTGGAGGAGGAGAACGAGGAGGAGGACGAGGACGAGGAGGGGAGGAAGAGGAGGAGGAGGAGAAGAAGAAGGAGAATGAGGAGGAGGAGGAGGAGGAGGTTGAAGGAGTAGGAAGGAGGGAGGAGGAGGAGGAGGAGGAGGAGGAGGAGGAGGACGAGGAAGAGGAAAAACGGCCAACCGCCTGAGACAGCCTCACCATCTGGTATGCAGGCAAGGCAGAAGCGTCTGGGCCACCACACGGGCCAACCGCCCGAGACATCCTCACAATCTGGGCCCGAAGCGGGCTGCGTCCCCACCCCCTGGCGGCTCCCCCCTTGAGCTGCCCAAAGGCCACGCCTACTATATCGTGGTGAGCAGTGGACCACCACATGAGAGAAATCTAGGGGTCGAAAAGTTTCGGACACCTCCACAATCTGGACGCGAAAGCTAGTGTCCCCACCTCTGGCAGCTCCTCATCGGGTTGCCAGCATGCCACGGCTGCGATATCGCGGCGAACTCTGGACCATCAAAACAGAGTGTGTCCGAGTGTGGATGAGTGAGACAGTGAGTGGGTCCCAGTATGAGGGAGTCTGGGTGTGAGTGAGTCTGAGTATGAGTTCGTCTGATAAGGAGTGAGTCTGAGTATGAGTGCATAAGTCTGAATGCGATGACAACGTAACGAAGAAGAGAAGAGGGAGCCAAATGAGTGAGTGAGTGAGTGAGTGAGTGAGAAGGCGGAGACATCACACGAATAACATGAACCCCACCTTAGGATGTAGGGGAAACAATGTCGGATGCTTGGCCCCTCCTCCCTCACCGCGCCTCCCTCATTCATAATCAAACAATATGAATATTACTCGCCCTCCTCCCCTGAAGTTCACAGGAAAATCTCCCGCCCTCTCGGCGTGCTCATTTCTTGCACACAGGAACTCTGAAGTTGCTGTTCTTATGGTCTTGTACCATCTAGATGTTGTCGGCATTACAAACTGGTGCTCCCGCTGCAGCGTGAGCCTTACTTTCCGCTCGGTGCGTTGCTCCCATCCTTCAGAATTGCGCTCTCGCCCCAGCATGGACCACTTTTCTGGATCTGAGTCTTGCGTCTTTGTGGTCTCCCCCATCTTTCCCCTCCTTCGCCTTCCCCTGGTCATCCTGTTCCTCCCGCTCCATCCACTCCAGTGCCTGCTGCTGCTGTTGATGATGCTGTTCGTCTCGCCCCAGCGCGGGCCCTTTTTTTCTGAATCTGAATATTTGCTTATCGTTGTCGCCCCTCTCGTTTCCCCTCCTGCGCCTTCCCCTGGTCCTCCGCTGTAATTCCTGCTTCTGCTGTTCGTTCTCATCCTCTTACTCCCGCTCGTCCTCCTGCTCACCCGCCACCTCCTCCTCCCGTGCACAGAGCTCCTCCGCTTCCGATTGCGCATCCTACGAGGTGGTATTTCTGAGCGAGTCGCAGGTCGGCCATGACGCGCGCCCTCGGATCTGGAAGAATGAGCGCCATTGGCAAGGTGGGAGGGACGGTGGCCGGACAACAAGAAGGGCCCACCGCCCATGGCGGGAAGGCGGTATCACATGATGGCAACCACAACTGGGAAATGCCCGTGCTTCGCATCCCCCCCCCCGAAATCAGAGTTGAAGTGTCCACATGCTGTCCCTGGCCTGCGGCCCACCGCCCACACCCGTCAAGTTTGAGTTTGGGGGGAGGGGGGTATACGTTATGGTCCGACGTGCTCTAATAACTCAAGGTCTTGGCGAGACACGTGTGGACACTTTTAGTCCACCCACCGTAGGAACAGGATGTCGAATGAGGCGCGAGCGCACCAAGCTTGGCTCCCCCCCCTCTCCTTTATCCCCCCTCTCAATCCCCACCCCCCACCCCGCCCCCGAGCCATCTTGAGGGAGTGGATCCAGCTCACGGCGTCCGCGATCTGCGAGAAGCACTCCAGCACCGCCGACTCCTCGAACGGCAGCTTGGACCTGGGCAGCAAAGGGGAGCGCGGCGCGGGCGCCGACGGGGGCGACGAGGAGCAGCAGAGGCGGTCAGCCAGCCTCCCAGTCCCCAGCCAGATGAGAAGCACAACCTGGCGGACATGGGGGAACACTGACCTACCCCCGCCCCCCCCCCCGCGTGGCGTGGTGGTGGGGGAGGGCGGGGGCAAGCTGGGACTCGTCCCCATACTATTGTTTGACTATTTTTGAATAATCCTCCTGTAGAGGGACAGGCCCGACCCCAAGGCCCCCCCCAAGGCCTCCAAAGCACCACCCACGAGGACCGGAGGGCCCCAGGGACTCCGAGATGGAGCAAGAAGCTGGGGACACCTTCGGTCAGGGGCACCGTTATCAACCACCGAAGGGAGGCAGGGGGAGGGGGGAAGGCTTCGCAGAAGGAGGCTGCTCCTTAGAGGGCACCGGCCCTAATCTACAGACAAGGCCCGCGCCTTCAAGGAAGCAGGGGTGCTACTAGGGAGCCTTCCACCCTCCCCCATACCCCCCTCTGCGCGAGGTCGAGGATTGCCCCCGGGAAACCTGGAGTTCGAAGAGTAAGACGAGGCCAGGACGAGGATAAATTAGGGTGAGGATAAATCGAGAACCGCTGAAATCCAGCGGCTCTGGAGGGTGTATCGGGTGTCGCGGCCGTCTCAGAGCGTTCCGAACGCTCTGGGAGCGCTCTGGGACGCTCTAGAATCCATGGATTCGTCCTCGTCCCAGCCCCATCCGAGAGGCGGCCAAGGCCAGCGAGGGCACCCCCAAATGGCCCGTGAGAGCCCCAAGACATCCCAAGATCGGTCCCAGGTGGCGTCAGACTGCGGCGCTGGGCGGAACTCGCGGCCGACCCCACCTGCGCCTCGATCTCAGGCACCCAGAAAGACTTCCCCTGAGATCCTGGCGGCTCCGTTTTTTCGAGCTGGAGGTTCTCGCCCAGTTTCGGGCCCCAGGGCCCTCGCAGATCGATCTGTCTCGAACATGGAGCAGAAAGATGGGGTCCAGGGCTCCTGTCGTGATTTCTCACGATGTCTCAAATTTTTCGAGACGTCGGATCTCAGGCTTGGGTACACCAGCCACGACCCGCAGAATCTAATTCTGTGGGTCATGGCTGGCGCTCACCCTCCCCCTGGGGGTGGCCGCCGTCCGTCGGAGTGTCGGTTTCATGAGGAGCTGCCCCACTTGAGAGATGGCAGGGGCGAACGCCGGGGAGCAGGGAGCACGAGGGAAGACGAGGAAGGAGGGAGGGGGGCATACAGTGGAGGCACCCTGGAGGCAAGCAGGGTGCTTCTTGGCATGGGCCCCCGCTGCACGAGGGAAGACGAGGGGAGGAGGGAGGGGGGCACAATCAGCGAGCTGAAGACGCCGCGCCTCCCTGCAGCCCGCACCTCGCCC